ATGGAAGAAACTGATTGGTTTCTTTCTGAATCAAATTCTGAATGAGTTGATTGATTTCTTTTACAGCGTCAATTGTCGATACAGTTTATCCTTCAACCTTTAAAACAGCTTGGCGAAAACCTGCTGACTGTGCGTGTGAAATACAAAGCCATAATTCAGATGTAGGATATTCAAAAAAGTCTTTTATTGATTTGGGACATTTTTCAATGCTCAAAAAATAATTCTCTAACGGCTGGTACATTTTCAAAAACTCTCTCCAAAGCAGGCTTCAGCGCAAGACAACGAGATTTGCTGTAGCCGAGCATTTGGTGATGTTCTATTCCAGCTTCAGCGCAAAGTTCCTTTAGAGTTTCAACTCCAACCGCATAAGTATAAAGAAATGAATATATTTCTACAATAATGCTTTCGTAATCTAAAGGTAGGCCGTCTGCAGCATATTTTATAGCATTGTGAATTATATGGGCTCCACATCCGATACCTATCAACGGTTTTTTCAGAGATGATTTTAGGAAACGGGACTATTTTACGTCCCAGATCATTATTTGGGGACAACGGGATATATAGTCGAATGAAGGGACAGTCCCGTTCAAAACGGAACGTCTAGTCACCCATACAGTTTCACAGGGAGATGGATAGGAAGGCGAGGACCAATAGAATGGCTGGCTAGATCTCCTGATTTATCACCATTAGACTTTTTTATAGGTTCATTTAAAATCCAAAGGTTATATCACACATCCAAATTTTCTTGATGATCTACATAGGAGAATTGTTGTGGAGTATCGTGCAGTGACTCCAGAAATGTCAGGGAGTGTGCGAAGACATTTCGAAAATCGCTCATACTTCTGTATGGAAATAAATGGTTCACATTTTGAACTTCTCATATGATCATTACATTTTAGGTGATGAAAAATAAAAATATCTTGATAAAACTTAGTTTTCATTGAAACTTCAACAACACTTGATCGATCTGCAATCTCAGTACACCGATGTATTTGAGATTGACTTCCCTTCAAAAGGATATATCACAAGTATAGTAGTCCATTGAAAATTCTGAAGTAGGGGTGCTGGGGAGGAGGGGGTTGACAACACAATGATGAAGTATTTGGTGAAAGTGTTCCCCCTTGAAATAGAAATGGACGGGTCTGAGTGATTTTCAATTTTTTTCAGGAGTTCGCAGATTAGGAGGGTGACAAATTTTAGCTGGTACACACTGTATATAGAAAATATGCCAGAAGAACTAATTTGAACATTTATGTTTTGTCTATTGACGATGAAGCATATGATCGAATAGTAAAGATATTGAATTTAATATGTTAATGTATGTTTTGAAAATATTATTTCGAAAAGTCGTCTTTTGAGGTTCCATTTCGTAATGAATGGAAAGAAATTTACATTATGAGCTGGTAACCTGGATTGTACGCGTTCAGTAACGAAACATTTTACCCTCCCATAAAAAGTAATCATTTCTGAAAAGATTAAGATCGTGTCCAGGTTTTTCAGGCCGAGGTTTTCAACTCCTCAAGCGGATTTCCAAACCGTCGATTTGTAATCCAAGGGGGACATGTTCCTATCATAACCTCAACTGTCATACCTCTTCCTCCACCTCCCCAAACAATTTGAATAGGGAAAGTAGTATGTGTGACACATCGTTGAAAAGGTAATTTCATAAGGAATTCAACCATGTCAATTTCACCTTAGCCAAGGGTCGAGAAGCGACCCATACACCACAATATTGAGAGTAATATTTTCTTCGATGTTTCGAAGAATATACCTACATATTGTATACTACGTTCATTTAGTGTGGTGTGGGCTATGTTCTGTAGATATCTAATAAGGGGTGATTGAAATTTGTTACTCTGTATGCTTTTCGGAAGTTCATGTTTTTTCAACCGCAATGTTGTTGTTGCGGTGCCACTTCATCATCAGGCTGAATATTTTTGTTTCACATCACTATGAGTTCAAGTATGACTACTTCATGATTGTGAACGAATTATGTAATTGTTGAAGCCAATTGTGTACGAAACACTATCTTATCTCACTCCAAGTATTTCAATTTCGAACTGAACCTTGCAGTGGAGCAGTATATATTTTTTCCAATTAGCGCCGCAGATAACATGTAGATTACTTCATTAAAATTTTTCAAACTATTTTCACTGATAACAGTCCTATTGCACTTCTCTAAAACTCTACACATATTCGCTGAACTATATGGAACTAATAAAAACATATTGTGTTTTGAGTATTTCTCCTGAGATTTTGCATATATGCACACCTTTTCTTCACAGTTTACTTTTCTCAGTATCAAGATTCAAAAATCCAGTTTGTTTACTTGGCAATCGTACTTGATGAAATGGTTTTGTTAATTGCGGACAAAAATTTTCCAATACATTGATGGATGTAGCCGTTACTACGTGGTAGAAAATCAAAAGGAAGAAAAGAGAATTGAGAACTTTCTATGGTGTCTTATCACGCTTTTATTAGCTTCACCTGTATGCATGTATGCATTATTGCTTGATTTATTCGCGGGCAGATGACGCTGTACGTAACCCCCTCTTCATTGGAAAAAAGTGTATTTTTATCATTATTTTATCACACTTTTATCAGCTTCACCTGTATATGCTCGAGATCTGTATTTGAAAGAATTATCGACATTATTTTTTCATCTATTCGCGGGCGAATGATGGTGTACGTAACCTCTTTGATATAATTCGAACACACTTTACATGTATTTCTTCATTTGAAAAAAGCATTTTTTTTTATTATCACGCGCGCCTGCTGCCTTATTTGTAAC